ATCAGTCGGTTCAACCCCAACATGAGTTTTGACGATATCCTCAAACAGGTTCCCAACCAGAAGAAGAAATAAAAAAGTGCTGCGTCTTCGTGTGTGTATAATGTCTTTAGGGGGACCCTGCGCATTTTGTGTCCCCTTTTTGTTCTCAGCTGTTCTCGATCTTTGTTTTTTATTTCCTCATCTTCTTTCCCCACCACTGCATTACTAACCATGGTCGTTTCAGCTTTTGTGTTCTGTTGTCCTTGCACTTTCCTTTCTTGTTTCTATTGCAAATTTTCCTACCACTAGTAATGGGCGTGCACAAGTGACTTTGAAGCAAAAGGCTGGAACGGCGTAAATGAGCATCTATCTGAATCTTTTTTTTCCCGGGTCAGAAATAACAGGCAAGACACGGCCGAATGTTTGATATTCGGCAGCATGCACGCATTGGACCGATGACATTGGAAGCATGACTTGTTTTCTTTTTTGATTATTTTCCTCTCCACCATCTCTGCCACGTCCCTCCTTCGATCGCATAGCCTGGCTTCGCTCCCTTGCCTTGTGCTTTTAATTTTGGCCGTTGTTCTTTCCATTGCCCTCGGTGACTGTGAAGGACAGCCCCCCATTTGTGGTTATTTACTATTAGTCACTCCTAGAAGGGATAGAGATAATAGGTCCATGTGGGACCGATTAATATACTAGTGTACCTCTTTCGGTGATGATTGGGTTATGACATGAAGCCTTCCGAATATTGCAGGGGTAATCGCGTAGAGCATGATTGTACAATTTGTCGATGTGGTGGATCGGGTACGTAGCATATTGCGATAGTTGTAGTACTCCTTTGATAGCTTTTGATCATGTCCTCGTTCTTCGTAGTTGGATATGCTAAACCGGTTGACTTGTGAGCTAGTTCATGGTCACCCTTGGTGTCGTATCAATATATCTATGTCCCTACGTGTATGAGCACTACAAAGAAAACAATTAAGGTAATCAGAGTTGGATCTCATTGACCTTGGTTCATGCTATCTAATCCAAAATAGTAGAATCATCACTTGATCTCAGATTATGAATCATGCCAGAATGTGTGAAATTCAAGGGACCGTGGTATGTGGGCCACCATCCTCCCTCCATTCCTTCTTCTGTCCGCCCTTGCATTTTTTTACTCTTATTTGAGAGCTGGAGTATATGTTTTTTCCTATCAAATAATCGATGTTAGTCTAATCATATTTGTTTTTGTTATGTTCTTATGAATCTGTTTATTTATTTGGATTTTCCACTGTCGCATGCAATAACCCCGGGCGGGGGAAGGAACCATGGTTGTTGGTGCATCGTGCACGGGATACTGGACTGTCCGATTAAGTTTCGATGCTACCAAAGTATCGATATTGCTTGTGTGGGCTGGAGATAAGAAAGAGGCAGGTCTCCATGAAGAAGTTCCCTAGTTATCTAGCCAGTGAGATGATAAGAATTTTTTTTGTACTGTGTTATCGAATGTCACCTTCTAATGCCTGCAATTGTCACGTGTAATCTGGCATGAGTTGTGGGATCAATTGCTCTTCATCTTCAACTTCGTCCTCATTTTCATTTCGCTGTTGGCGGGGAATAAGAAAGTCTGAGGTGAGCCGAGAAACTCGCCGAATGCTGCAAATAATCATTACGGGATACTTTTCTCAGGGTTCATGAACGAGTATGATCCAAGACCACTGCATGCATCCAGACGCCTGTCGGGAGTCTGGCCACGCAGGAACAGCGCTATCGCTAGTGAAGGACCGTCAATAATGTATGAAAGACCCCTGCCACCCCAAGAGCTAGCGACGCTACACCAAAAATTAGACACATCCCGCGGTGGAGACATCCAGGCCCATCCTTCTCTAGACGGTCTCGATGATCGCTCGTATCGCGTGCGGCTCTGGCCAGTGAAATGTATCGCCGTCAGCCAGTTCTACCACTAGCGGCTGACACTTTTTACCCTGCAAAACTTTTTGACCACGCCTCCACCTCTACTTCTTCTTGATTTCGCCCAGAGCTATGGGATAGTGAATCGCAGGAACCCCCCAGGGTCTTCTCCTGCCAGCGTTATACAATGTCCAGATCACGGTCTAGTATGGCGAGCGACGGGCATGATCGTCTGGAACCGCGACTGCTGCGAGCAGCTGAGAGCGACCAGGTCGAGGCTCTGCAACACGTCGTGGAATTGGCCCGCGACAATGGCCAGCTCAGCGACAGCTTCCTGCGGATCGGACTCATGCGCAGCTGTGAGCGGGGATCGATCGCAGCGACTCAATTCCTCCTTTCTCTCGGCGCAAAGACCGATGTCGCGAATAACCGCCCTTCACCGCTCCTACGCGCTGTCGAGCGCAATCACGTTCGCATCGTGCAGCTCCTACTGGATTATGGCGCGTCGCCGGAGATAACGGATAAGAAAGGTCGGACTGCATTGATGACGGCGGCATGGAAAAATCACTGGCATGTGCTCCACCTTCTCATATCGCGTGGTGCAGATGTCAATGCGAAGGACCAGAAGAAGAGGAATGTCTTGCACAATCTGGCCGCCGACAAGCAATGCGATTGGGGCGAGGATGTCATCGAGCTTTTGCTACGCACAAGCTGCAAGCTCGACGGGGTTCAAGGTCAAGATGATTTGGGTCGCACCCCTTTACATTGGGCCTGCGCGACGGGCAAATTGCGATTCGCAGAGATGCTTCTTGCCCGACCGGAGGGGCCAATCGCTGATGTGAACGCAGTGGATTTCAGAAATAAGACTTCCCTCCACATTGCTGTCTCCCATGGTCGCGATGATATCGTTCAACTCTTACTCCGGCATAAAGCAGATATCAACGCGAGGAGTGATGGAGGCTGGACGCCTCTTCACAATGCCTGTGACAAAGGAGCTGAATTGATCGTGCGCATACTGTTGCGGGAAGGCGCCCAGATCAACAGCCAATTGTTGACTGGAATCACTCCATTGCATCTGGCGGCGCAGGCAGGTCATCGGGAAATTGTTGAATGCTTGATGGAATTCAAAGACCTTAAAACCAGGATCCGCGACAATTTTGGCAGTACGCCCTTCCTGCGAGCAGCCCAATTCAAGCGCCGGGATATCGTGTCACTCCTGGCTCCCTTTAACAATGTCGATGCGCTTACGCCGGAAGCAAAGGGAGCGTGCGAAGGCTTCGAGGCAACTGTTGTGGACTTTGGAAATTTTCACAACGAGAACCGGGTGAAGAAGACGTCCGTTTACAATCTGCTCTATGGTCGCGATCCGGGAAATCCGCGCAAACAAGCCTTTACCACATTACCAGCCGACAGTCGAGCGACCGACTTTCGCTGGATCCATCTGCCAGCTAACAACCTTACCTGGGTCGAAGCTTTGCTCACTAAATCATTCATCGAGGAGGGAGCCCACGATGTGGAGAGCTTTAAGGGGCTTGAAAGGTCGTTTCGATATCAACATCGCGGACAAAAAATCCATTCTCACTTTATGCGACCATTGTGTCAGAGTACCCCTCGTGCAGCACGACTCCGAGAGGAGGATAGTTCGGAAGAGAAGGAAATGATGTCCCCCCGGATCTTGGTGAATGGTCAATCTCTTGAAGCGCCGAAGTCCCCAGGGGAGGGAGGCAGCCCCAGGGGCCGGAAACTAGGCGGCAAAGGCGACCGGTCAGATACCAATTTGCACAACGATAATGGCCCCTCTGGGAAGAAGGGAAAGAACACAACGAAGCACAGCAAGAGCGGAGGATTAAAAAAGCCAGAATCCAGGAACCAATCCGTTGTCGCCCATGAGAGGCACCGGCCAGTGCTCTCACTGTGCAAGGAGCAAACCCACACAACCTGCAATGTGTGCATGTTCATGCCTTATCTGCACTTTGAAACAGATGAGCGAAGGAAGAAGATGCAGGAAGCGATTAAACGAGCTGAGACGCGCAGCTTTGCTCACCCGGGCCTTACACGAACTCCTACAAGAGATGAGCTTCTTATCAGCGCGCACCTAGCGTCATCCACCTCTTCGCTGCATATACGACGCACGTTAGATCAATTCTTCTACCCCAACATCGACACGCAGACTCGGGACCAGGACCAGGTTGTGTATCGCTATCAGACGAAAGGGCAAGGTAGCGAGCGCTCCTGGGCCGAGCCCAAAATCTTTATGGTCGACCAGCTGTGGATGTGGATTGTAGGAACGAACTTGATTGTGACCAGTTTCCCTCAGCGGTGGGATCAGCCTAAGAATGACCCTCTCAATGTTCTCGATGGTATCATTGAAGATATCAATTCCAAGACTCGGGAACCGGTGCGGTCCGTTTACGATCTGGCCATCATTATCACCACCCGCTGCTCTGGCGTGTTCGACCGTCACCGCATGGGAGACGAAGAGTATCAATTTCTGGACATGTTCGAGGCCTCGATCGGTGTGGCCACGGACCGGGAGACCGTGCTCTTCAATCGGTTCAACCGAGCATCAGCGCAGGCATCGGATTGGCTAAAGAACCATCGCAAGCTAAGTCGTTTTGCCAGGGATCCGCTCACCAAGGGTGAGCCAGCCGGGAACAGCTTTGAGCGGTTTCTGAGAGAAGAGGAGGAAGAGGATGCGCAGCCCCTCTTTGTGGACAATTTGCTGGACATCGGCCAAGAGACCGAGCTCCTGTCGGAGGCCAAGGATATTCGCGACGAGCTCAACATGATCCGAACGGTCCTGCAGCACCAACAAAATGTTCTTCTGGATTTTCAGGAGGCTATCTGTGAGATTTACTACGGACAGCAGCGGTCACAGCATGAGGTCAAGAAGCGGTTCAAGGAACAGCAGCGCACGATCGACATGCACCTGAAGGATATTGACCGGATGGACAAACAAGCCGAACGAATCTATTCTTCCATTACAGACCTGCTGGATCTCAAGCAGAAACATGCCAACGCGTTTGAGGCACGGTTCGCCCGCGATCAAGCGGCCGGAACGACGCGTCAGGGAAAGATCATGATGGTTTTCACAATTGTCACAATCATTTTCCTCCCACTGTCTTTTATCACGTCCGTCTTCGCGATCAACATGGCCGAGTTTGAAGGGGCAAACGAGCTACATCTACCATATGTGGCCAAGTACACGTTTGGCATTGGCTTTGCCATCTCTATCCCCTTGATCTTGGTTGCGCTGTCTGTTGATGACATTGGAGACGTCTGTCAGGAAGGCATCCGGCGAATGCGCCGATGGATGTCGCAGAAACGAGCTGCTGCATCCCCTGCTGGTATGCAGGATAATAATAGACCGACGGCGTTTGAGATCGAGAAGATTCTTAGCGCTCGTCGGTCTCGGAAGAGTGTTGAGATGGACACGGACTTTGCGGGCAGCCTGCTTCCTGTGTCGACACGAGGGACTACTCGGACTGTGCTGTCCCGTGGATGATTGAGTTGATGATACCGATGACCGACACGAATGACGAGTTTATGATTTTCGTAGGTAGATAAAAGCTATAGGATGTTGATCAGATCATGCCACTCGGCGGATTGACGTAATTGCTTGGAACTTTTGAATGGCATGACAGCATCCGTTTCTTCATAATAGGAGTATAATAGTTCCCATCAGTCCAGTTGTTGCTTCCCTGAACCCTGCTGGTGATAATATATTCTCTCTTGAAGTGTTCTTCCATTCAATGCGCGCCCATCACATGACTCCTAAGTTGTGTATTCTCGCTTCCCACTTCCATCTTCTCTCCAGCTTCTCCCACTTCTTCTCTCGCTCTCATCTCTCGTCACTCGTCACCCACCATGAACCTCTCCCACCTAATCCAACCCACATGTACGTACACATGCCTTTCCGGAATTCCATTCCAATCCGCCGACATCGCATGTGCCTAACTAGCCAAAGTGGACGACATCCACTTTTCTCGGGCAATCCCGGTTGGCAATCCGATAAGGGGCCAGACCGAGCATCCAAATAAGGTTGAAGATCCCTATAGTTAGAACGGGAGAAGCAGATGCCGAGCCGATGCTCCAGATCGTTCAACAATGGATTCTATCATTCCGCACGAAGTCTTCCATGTGCCATCGGATGGAACCGGGCGCACCAACCGTGACTCACATGTGGATCAGATCGACCACCATGTGTACATGTCTGCAAATGGAGGAATTTGAGCTGAAGAGATGAAAATATGTCTCGGAAAGAGGATAGTTATCCCTAACAAAGGGGATATTCGTGACGCGCCGTTCCGGCCCATCCATCCTGGCCGGGAATGATATCATCATGTGCTCAGCACCAGCCCTGACCCGACAATGAGCTTCGTATCGCATATCTACGCTTCATCTGCTGCTCCAAGCTCGAGTTTCAACAGAGAAGGACTCAAGCAATACAGAGCGACTGATTTCTGCCGCTCAATGGCACAATGAGGCTACCGGGCTACCCCGTCGCTTGCAAGCGTCCATCCTCCCTCCTCACTTCCGTCTCCCGCTCAACCATAAAGCCCATAACCATTAGCAGACCTCTCGCAACACAGATCAGTCACTCAACCGCATTCCGCGAAGAGCACGACAAAGAACGCATTGTCATTCTCGGATCCGGCTGGGGCGGCTACAACCTCTCTCGCAAGCTCTCTCCGCAGAAATACAACCCCATCATCATCTCCCCTCGATCATACTTCGTCTTCACTCCTCTCCTCACCGATGCCGCCGGCGGCTCCTTAGACTTCTCCCACATCGTCGAACCAATCCGCGACCCTTCCTCAAAAGTCGACTTCATCCAAGCCGCCGCGCGATCCGTCAACTTTGCCGACAAAACCATCACCTGCGAAGCCACCGTCGTGAAAAGCGGCGTGACCGAAACACCCCGAACCAGCGAGGACGAGGAATTCCAACTCAATGCCACCCAATCCGCCAGTCGCAAACGCACCTGGGAAACCGGCGAAACATTCACTATCCCCTACGACAAACTCGTCATCTCCGTCGGCACAGTCTCCAAGACCTTCAAAACCCCTGGCGTGCGCGAAAACGCCCTCTTCTTCAAAGACATCGGAGACGCGCGCAAAGTCCGTCGCCGGGTGCGAGAATGCTTCGAACTCGCTGTCCTGCCCACCACCTCCCCAGAGCTCCGCTCTCACCTCCTCCACTTCGCCATAGTAGGCGCCGGCCCAACAGGCACGGAACTCGCCGCCTCCTTACGCGACTTCATCGTAAAGGACCTCGTCGCCCTCTACCCAGCCCTCAAAGGCATCCCCAGAATCACCCTCTACGACATCGCCCCCAAAGTCCTCTCTATGTTCGACGAGAAACTCTCCCAATACGCCATGGACACCATGCAAAAGGAAGGCATCGAGATCAAACCCTCCCACCACGTCCAGAGCCTTCGGTGGGGCGAGCCCGATGCTGAACCACCCTACGAAATGGACCCTAAGCGCTGCCTCACCCTCACCACAGCGGAAGAAGGCGAAGTCGGCGTCGGCATGTGCGTCTGGGCTACGGGTAACGCAATGAACAAATTCGTCCGTGACGCCCTAACAACCGTCGACAAGTATCCCTCCAACTCTGCCCTTCTGAAATCCCCTACCTCCAACGATACATCAAGCACCCAACAAACCACCACCACCCCCAACACCAATACAACCTGGCACGTCAAAAAAGCCCCCAACGTCGGCGCCCTCCTGGTCGACGGCCACCTCCGCGTGCAACTCGAATCCTCCTCCTCCGACGATGAAAGTAACCCTCCCCAAACAGCAATCCTCCAAGACGTCTACGCCCTCGGCGACAACGCCATGCCCGAGACCGGCGCACCCCCAGCAACCGCGCAAGCGACCTTCCAAGAAGCAAAGTGGCTCGCGACGCGGCTGAACAAAGATGACTTTGCGACGGCGCCGCCCTTCTCGTTCCGGAACATGGGGACGTTGGCGTATATCGGCGATGCGAAGGCGTTGATGCAGATCCCGCATGATGCTAAGGAGGATGGTGGGAGGTATTTACCCGAGGGGTTGACGGGACGGATGGCTTGGGTGGTGTGGAATTCGGCCTACTTGACCATGAGTATTAGTTGGAGGAATAAATTGAGGGTCGGGTTTAGGTGGTTGCTCAATCAGATTTTTGGGAGGGATGTTTCGAGGTATTAACCTACTTTCTCCCTCACTCTCTCCCCGGGTCTTTTTCTTTTTATCTTATCTCTGCTCTTGAGAAGAGGGGGGTTGGGTGTAGGTTGGTAGTATGTATGTATGTATGTATGTATGCATATACAGATATACATCTAGGAGATGCTTCGTGATATCTATCTATCTATAGCTTCGCTATATCCGTAGATCTAGAGAAATACTCCTTGACAGCCCGATCAACCACCCCCATCGCCACGACCAGCTCATAATCATGCAATCTGGGGGTAATAACCTGCACGCTAAGCGGCGAATCAAGGTACATGCGTCTATCGACGAGTTTCTCGTCCCCTGCATCCATCATACTCTGGTCAGCACATCACAACACAACACAACACCCAAAAACACAATATCATAAGTAACATGAAAGAAAGGGTGGGGACAACATACACAACTCCCTATTCTTCGCATCCCAGCTCCCCCTCACCGGATCCTTCATCTCCCTCCCCACCTCCAAATCCTCCATCTTCACCTTCCGCACCGGCACCACTCCCGCCGGGTAATCCAACAGTACCCAGGATGAGGTATACCCGACTGCATTATACTTGTCGTGTTCGGGGACGGGGTGCGGTGCGACGGGGTGGATGATTGCGTCTATTCTCCTCTTCGTCTTCTCGTTTCCTTGGTTATCTGTGGGGGAGGTATACGTCCACATGCTCATCATCTCGCGCTGGACCTGTGCTCGTTGGTGCTGCAGCTCGCATAGCTCCGGTACCGTGAGAGGGTTGCGGCGCTTCGAGCGGCCCTGGAGCCAGGGGATCAGGGGTTCGTTGGTCTGTTCGAGGAGGTCGTGCATGAGGTTACCGCCGTCGATGCCCATGAGTTTGTTAGCGATGGTTTGGCATTTGCGGAGGGCGGGTGGGGTGGGGAGGTCGATGAGGTCGATGTCATGGTGGTGGAGGATGGTAGCGACTTCGTTGAGGATGTTGCGGATAGGAGGGAGGGGTTCGACGAGGCCGTCGGTGCGGAGGATGCCGATGGTTAGTTTCTGCTTCATAGTAGCTTGGGACGAAGTCGGGTTTAGTGTTGGGGATGGTCCCCAGTTCCCGGGTATACAGTCCTCTCCGAATAGCTCTGCCCTGGGCACGATCTCCGCCAATGCTAACCCTATGTCTTCGATGGAGTGGCCCATCACGCCTGCCACGGGCTGCAATGCGATACGGTTCTTCGCTGGCAGATGCCCGCTCTCTTGCTGGCCGCCGTATGGGAGTCGGCCTTGGCTGGGCTTGAAGCCGTATTTGCCTACGCACATGGGCGGGATGCGTACGCTGCCGCCGATGTCGGTGCCGAAACTGAGGGTGGTGCCGCGGAGGGCTAGGAGGGCGGCTTCGCCGCCTGTGCTGCCGCCGGCGGTTAGGCGGCGGTTGAGGGGGTTCAGGGTGCGGCCGAAGAGGTGGTTTGCGGTGTCGAGGGTGGAGACGGTTTGGGGGACGTTGGTCTTGGTGATGATGATGGCGCCGAGGGATTGGAGGAGGGTGACGAGGTCGGCGTCTTTGGTGGAGGGGTGGAAGGCGAGGGCGGCGAGACCGTTGGTTGCATCGACGCCGGTGATGTGGAAGGTGTCTTTGACGGAGATGGGGAGGCCGTGGAGTGGGCCGATGGGGGTGTTGGTGGTGCGGAGGTGGGTGTCGAGGGTGCGGGCGCGGGCGAGGGCTTGGATGAAGAGAGGCTCGGAGAGGCAGCGGGAGAGTTGTTGGGCGATAGCGGCGCGCTGAGGTGAGGTGAGGTTAGTGATGTGATGTTCTTATATGGAGTTGGGTATACCTTGCAGAACGCGCGGGTGACTTCTTCCGCGGTGAGGCGTTTGGAGTGGAGCTCTGTCAGGAGGGAGCGGATGTCGTAGTCTTCGGTGATGTGCAGCTCATGAGGAGTGAGTAGCCCGCAAGTTCGCGGGATATCAACGACGTTGATGCTCTCGCTGTAGGAAGGGTTGGTGACGGAGTCGGCGACGGAGAGCATGCCCGCGGGGATTTGTGAGGCGTCGAGACGCCATTCCGGGGGAATGAGTGATTCCAAATGCTGCTGCTTGCGAGCTGCAATGGACTTATAGTCAGACATGTTGATCCTTGGCTTTGATGGCTAGTAGATGGGAATTGAGGTTTAGGTTGACGAGAACAGGAGAGAAATAGGGAATGGGGTTATTTATTGATACTTGGGGAATGCGGAGAAGCAACGCAGCCGAGGCCCGACTCCACGTGAGGGGAGGCCATTACTCCCAGGAACCGATACGAACAATCGGTAAGCTTAATATACCATAGCTATGGAAGAATGTATAGGAATTGATTACAAAATATTTGAAATGGTGACTGGCTGATAAATTGTTGTACAATTGATGTAGAGGGGCAGCCTGGTGCTGCGAGTGTGCAGCTAAGAGTACATGTAGGATAGGGCAGCGATAACAGAGGCATGAGGAAGCATCTCACATTCCCGAATGCAATCATTCGTCCCACCACCTCGCCGTCAGGCATAGCTTTTGACATGACCAGAAGTTTGACATCCCCCTACTGACCCACCCCACCAACGAAGAAACACAGTAGTGTTGACACTGCTGTCGTTATAACCGTCCAAGCAATCAGTGTTGCCGTAGCGGAAACCTTTCTCCCTTCCTCCACCACTGGACGTCGTCATTTTCGGGTGCCTTGGCGGATTTGGACCGAATATCGAGGCGTCGATGAGTGGTAGCCTGATGGCCAAATAGCAGCCGCTCATCGATAATGCCTTCGTGGCCTTCGAAAACATGCGCTGTTTTGAGCGAAATGGAATCTTATCGTCAAATGCGTATCCTACCATGGGTAAGCCAGGTTTTCCTCCTCATAGGCAGAAGAAGGCCTACCATAAATGTGTTGCCAGCTCTATCCGTTACGCAGCTTGCGAACGAGCAGAAGAAACAGCAGATTATGTTGAGTCGGAAAAGGCTGAGGTGTGTTGATATTCGACTGAAAACAGCTTCCCGGGGCTTTGTAATACCTACATACAGGTAGGTAGCGATCTCGATACCAACAGTCTGTCTCAACAATCGAGGACTCCCTAGTGAAGTGAGATGACCCTTCCACTGATTCGGGACCACGACCTTTGGCTTGGCTCCAGATTGTCTTGAGCTGGACTATCACTTTCGGATACCTTGGCTGAAGGGGAGTATGAGGATTAATCTCATATATATAAAGACCAAAGCCATGAAAATCCAACACCTTGTCGCATATGTCCCCTGTCAGCTGTGAGCAGAGCATGGTTAGGGTCTTAATGCTTTTTCGCACAGTTGGTCTGTCTCAGCAGGTTCTTCGAGCTGGTCAACATCAAATAGCGGATGCTCAGGGTCAAATTTGCCGCCATGGACCCATGACGCCTGGTCGTAATGGGCTATCTCTTCTAGCTTTCCATCCTTAGGATAGGGAAACTTCTTGTTCGGCCCGAACCGTATGAACCAGCTGAGCCTACCTGAAGCAGTAGGTCGGGCAGAAACACTTGCCAAAGCAAGGATCAGCATGGTTCTTCGGTGGAACTCTCACGCGACTGCTCACAACATAGCTTGTCGAGTCACAATAGACTCTCGCATTATGGTCTACCATAAATAGAGAGAGAACCATCACTGCAGCCATAACCTCCTAGCCGCTTCCGAGAGGATTGTCACGACTCCGTATTCAAATGTGGACATGAAGTTGGGCTCCGGCATTCGTAGCCCAATATTTGCCATGCAACGCAAGGATTTGTGCGCATCTTTCAAGTCTTGCTCGTACCGAAATCTGCCCTGCTGCCCTCAACAACAACATTCCTTCGGTGTCGATATGTTGTTTAGCCGTCTGTGTCATCACGAGGAATGACGGAGATTGGTCGCTCCAGCTTCCATGCCACGAAGAGGGCAGTACGTATGGCTATCTCCGACTGGGTCGAGAACTGCCACAGCTGGGCCAAGGGGGGGGGG